CGGGATTTCTGGAGGAACGCCCCGGCGACGGGGAGGAGAGCGCTCTCACCTCGGAGGCTTTCTGGATCGAGCTTGGATCTCCCGAGGAGGCGGACCATCAGGACTCAGCTCTTCTTGAGGAGATCGGTCGATGGTCGAGGCAGTCCGAGGTCGATGGAGGCTCCTTCGTCTCTCACGTCGCCACGCCTGATTCAGGATCGAAGAGAGGACAAGAAGTTGTGTGGAAGCACCTCAGTGCCTCGGAGCGTGAACAGTTCAGAGCATCAGACGCCACCGAATGGCAGGCAATGATGCAGACGAAGGCCGTCCGAGTCCTCCCTCCGACCGAGGCCGCCATCGTTCGGCGACGCGACCCCTCGCGGATCCTGTCGTCACGTATGGTTCGCCGATGGAAACCTCAAGAGGGAACGGACGCCCTTCCTCGTGCCAAGAGCAGGTGGTGCGTTCGCGGCTACGCCGACCCGGACGCAGAATCCCTCAAGGTATACGCACCCACCCCACAGGAAGAGGCGGTGCTCGTCGCGCTTCAGCTGGTGGCAGGCAAGCAGTGGACGTTGCAGATCGCAGACTGTAAAAACGCTCTCTGCCAAGCCGACCCCCTCTCCCGTCCCAACGGCAAGATTTATGTTGAACCCTGCGAGGGGGTGGGGGTTCCTCGAGACAGTCTGCTGGAACTCATAGCTCCAGTGTGCGGATTGAACGACGCTCCAATCCGATGGCATCAGACCCTCACCGCCTTTCTTCGGTCAATAGGTTTCCGTCGGTCCCTTCTCGAACCCTGCCTCTGGGTCTCGCACTCCTCGTCCGGGTGCCTGCAAGCAATCATCGTCATCGAAGTTGATGATCTGATCATTGCCTGCGAGCCATCCCTGGAGGCAAGTCTCAAGAAGCAGCTCACGGACAGGTTCCATTTCGGGAAGTGGCAGCTTAAGGAGGCCGAGTATGCGGGGAGGAGAGTGCGTCAGATGCCAGACGGGCGGATCTTGGTTGATCAAGAGAAGTACGTGCTGGAACAAGTCAGGCCAATGAAGATAGACCGCGAGCGGGCCAAGCACCCAGAGCAGCTGCTAGACAGCCGAGAGCTTCGAGACTACCGGGGGTTAATCGCGAAGATTCTGTGGGTTGCTCGGCAGTCTCGGCCAGACGTCGCGGGGTCGGCGTCGATTCTCAGTGCCGAGTGTCCTCATGTGACAGTTGCGTCGGCCTTAATGGCCAATCGAGTGGCCCGACACCTCCGAGGAACTGCCTGCAACACGATCACGATCTGGCCGCTGGATCTCACGGAGGTGACAATGATCACCTGCAGCGACGCTGGCGGCCCTGGCTCTGCCAAGCGGGACGGGGCCCAAGGGGCCTGGATGATCCTGCTCGGGGAATCCCGCATTCGGCACAACCAGAGAGCACGCGTTTCCCTGCTCTCCTGGCGCAGTCAGCGCCTTCGTCGAGTCGTGTCGTCCACTCTCTCCGCGGAGACTCTGAGTCTCTCGGGGGCCCTGGCGGAGGGGCAGTGGCTCTGGTTGGTTTTCCGGGACGCTCTGTATGGCGATGTCAAGGGGCCCGACTGGTGGACCACCAGTACTGCCTGCCCATTCGCCGTCGTCCTCCCAGACGACTGCGAGCTGGCTGTGGCATCCCAGGGGATTTCGATCGTGGATGCCAAGTCGCTGTTCGACACTCTGTCGAAGAACTGCGGGGGAAGCAAGGCGGATCGTCGCAACAGCATCGAGATGTGTATCGTTCGGGACTCCATGGTTGCCCAGAACACCGTGGTCCGGTGGGTCCCTCACTGCAAGATGCCCGCCGACACGATGACGAAAGTCGATCCGCTGAGAGGCAACTACGCCTTGGCTGATCTGATGGGGAAGGGGACTCTGGCCATCACGTGTGAGACAGGCTCTCTGGACGAGAGGTCCCTGAACGCCGCCCTCAAGTCCCGAAGTCGAACCGCCTCTCGTCGATTTTTGGCCCGTGAATCGGCAGAACCAGAGGTTGAAGCCAGTGTCCCCAGAAGCGAGGAAGAGGCCAGAGGTGAGGAGGAGGCGGAGGAGGAGGGAAGCCCAGAGGAGGAGACGGCTCGAGTAAGTTCAATGTTTGTGATCCCTCGCCCGCCCGGGCTGGAGAGCCCGAGGAGAAGGGAGGAAGAGGAGACGCCCACGGCCGCCAGGACACCGTTGACCTCGAGGTCGCCATGTGCGTGCCCTCCCAGTACCCCAGGGGAGGTTCTCGGGAGGACCGGGGAGGCGGGGACTCGGGCCCCAATGAGGCTGGATGCCCGAGTATGATTTCAATGTAGTGGCTGGAAGCCCGAATCAGACTAGTTATTGTTTCAAGGGCTCGAAGGGTACTAAAATATGGGGGCACTGTCTTATCTGTCCCATTCTCGCCTACCCTTCGAGCCCCCGTTAGATTGTGCCCCATGAGGGAGGCGTCCCACAGCATGCGAGCATGACTGTACTGACGCCGATGTGGCTCAAGTCTCTGAAAAGCACAGGAGGGAAAGGAGGCATCCCCGCTCATCGTCCCTTCCTCCGGCCCCCGCTCGTACCCCAACCGATCCACACGTTCGCTCACAGAGGAGGGAGGCCATGATGAGGATGAGGATGAAGAGGAACTCGTCCTCCTCCTCCTCCTTCTCCTCCTCCTCCTCCTCCTCCTCCTCCTCCCCACCGTGGTATCGTCTCGGCTGTGGGGGTGATGACGGTAGGCGGAGGAGTACGATGATGACACTGATGATGATGATGCGAGTCTATCACGGGATGCTGCTGACGACGACGGTGACGATGATGACGGCTAGGACTACGACGATGTTGATGGTATTGATGATGATGATGATGCTGATGATGTTGCTGATCATGATGGTGATGCTGGTGCGGGTGCTGGTTATGATGCTGATGAGGATGATGTTCATGTAGTTGATAACGGTACTAGTGATGGTGGTGATCATGATGATGACGATGATTCTCACAAGAGTTGATGCGTGTACGGATTGTTGCGATGACGGGCATGATGACGATGATGACGATTCTGATGGCGGTGCTGATGATTCTGACGATGTTGATGATGATGCTGATGGCGAGTACGCTGCGGACGATGATGTTTTTTAGAGTGAGGATGATGAGATGATGATACTGGTGATGACGATTCTGATAATGATGATGATGTTGATGATGATGATACTGATATTGGCTGGTGACGGATGATGATGTATGATTGGATGGATATGATGAAGATGGTGATGATGACGATGCTGATGATGCATATGGTGGGTGATGAATGGTGATGCATGGTGATGATGGTGTTGATGATGGTGATCATGACTATGATGAGTTTGATGATGATTGTGATGGTGTTCTTGATGATGATGCTGATGATGATGATGATGCTGATGCTGATGCTGATGCTGATGATGATGATGATGATGCTGATGCTGCTGATGATGATGATGATGATGATGATGATGATGGTGATGATGATGATGATGATGATGATGATGATGCCCCCTTTCTTCTCCTCCTCCTCCGCCTCCTGTTTGCCCTCTCACTGCCCCTCCCTCTCCCCTGCTAGTCTGCGAGCGCCCGAGATGGGCGGGCGGAGGACTGTGGGGCCACTGAGTCTGTGTGAGTGATGCATCATTCCATATTGTGGCAGCCGGCGGTACACCGTCAACCTTGGCACTGCTGGGGGCATCGTAGAGTTCTCTCTGATGTTTTTCTCGCACTGGGTATTGGACGACCTCTCCACCCTCTCCTCAGCGGATCTTGCTCCATGCTCATTTTGTCCATGGCTCTCCAAGGCTTCCACTGCACGGTTTTCGTGTGGGGCGCCAGTACTTGCCCTTGTCGACCCTGCTGCTTTCCTGCATGGTCGCTCTCCTGGCGCCGCCTTTCCCTGGTTCAGTTGGGTACGATCGCTTTCGCCACCTCGTATCGCTCTCACGTTGCCTCGGTCATTCCCAGCGACGGCATGCAGGGCTCCTCCCTCATGCTTCGTACATGGACTGCGACCCAGTATGCTGCTGCACTCCGGCACGCGCGCGAAGATGTGCACGGTTTGCATGTGGCTCGCTCCCTCCCCAACACGCGCCCCTCCGGCCCCGCGTCCCGCGCGCACCTCCTTTTTGCCTCTCGTGCCCCAGTTTGCCTCGGTTGCACCCCGCCGTCGCTCGCACGCTGCTTGATCGATCGCGGTCGCCGATACAACTGTTTCTCGCACTGGACATGACTCAGACTGTTGTAGCCAGCTTCTCGGATCATTTTAGAACATAGACTGCAAGGTTATCCCTCGCCGCGCTGTCAATTCCTGGAAGGGGAGCGATCGAAATATTGCGGCTACAGCCATGGAGCTCGGACAGAAAACAGCCTTAATCACTTTCCCCCGGGCAAAACATCAGGATTCTCAAATTGAACTTCAAAGTCTTTAGCAGTGTTGCGAAAACCAGACCCAGCTCGTTACATTGACAGTTCTGGTCCGGTTTGCCAGCTAGCTCCACCCTTGCGCCCGCATTCCTCTTAGCTGAGGTTCCCGAACGATTTTTGTGAGATATTTTAGAGCGCGCCGCAGGTGTCTTGGATGAACATGATGGCGAGGAGGATCGTGAAGATGCTATTGCCTTGGCCATTCTATGATGCAGTCGATAACGTGCTATGCGCCCAAACAGTCTTTTGATCGGCGCGCAGCCTCGGCATCCTGGACGCCTCTTCGGACCGCTGTTCGTTGCAGGCCTTCGATGCACGTGGTCGTGATTGCGTCGCGTGTTCGAGGCCAGCTGTGATGTCCGGTAGAGGCTGCGCAGCTGTGCCCTCTTTGCCTCCGGGGGAGGACGAGAAGACAACGGCACGCGACGAAACGGGGACAGGATGTGAATGAGAGGATGTTGAAGACGGGGTGGACGCGGACGACGGGGGGGATTGATGGGTGAAGCGGAGTGGATGTGTCGAGCCGCATCCGTCGGGTGATGTGCAGTGGGTCAGTCGTGAGGGGGAAGGCCTCCGCGCTCGCAGGTGGCCTCCCGGGTGCTGGCGGCGGCGGTGCCGACGCAGCCCAGAGCCAGTGGCAGATGGCCACCGTGGAGTTCAAGGGGAAGGATCCTTTTCGGGTGGAGGTGGGTGGCAAATGGGATGTCGTTGTTGTTGTTGTTGTTGTTGTTGTTGTTGTTGTTGTTGTTGTTGTTGTTTTTGTTGTCGTCGTCGTCGTCGACGTGGTTGTTGTTCTTGTTGTTGTTGTTGTGGTTTTTGTTGATGCCCCTGCTGTTGTTGTTGTGGTTGGTTGGTTGGTTGGTTGGTTGGTTGGTTGGTTGGTTGGTTGGTTGGTTGGTTGGTTGTTGTTGTTGTTGTTGTTGTTGTCGTGGTTGTGGAATTTTCATTTCTGAAGAATAATTATTGTTGATCCCCCCTCACCGGTGCATACTGTTTTTCTCAATCAAAGTGTGCCCCTCGACGCTCGCACCCTGTTTTTTGAAAGGGAAAGTCTTCCTGCTCAAACTGGCCCCCTGACCCCTGGGTTACAACAACAACGGCTCCCGCCTGAGACGTCCTTACAATTTAGGCAGGACCCCCGCCCCCGCCCGAGACTTCCTGGCATTTTATTCAAGAATCGCGCTCTCGCTTGGGACTTCCTTACAATTTATTCAGGAATCGCTCTCCCGGAGCTCTGGAGTCGCGATCTCGCTGGAGACTTGCTTGCAACTTTTTGAAGAATGGCCTTGCGTTGGAATTTCCTGCAATTTGCCCAAGCGCCGCGCTCCCGACACCCAGGCACCCAGGAGTCGCGCCCGTTGTGGCCTCATGTGCATGCCCTTCGTGGCCCCGCTGTCGCCATGTGTGTCCCCCTCATTGTCCTACGTGGCCCAGTTGCTACCCTCAGTGGCCCCATAGTTGCCTTCTGTGGCCCCGCATTATCTGCACTTCGTGGCCCCCGCTCGTTCGCACTCTTCGTGGCCCCATACGCATTCCCTTCGTGTCCCCGCTGTCGCCCTTCGTGGCCTACTTCGTGCCCTTCGTGGCCCTGCTGTCGTTCTCTCTCGCTCTCGCTTTCGCTCGTCGTCGCCGTCGTCGCCGTCGTCTTCGACGTCGTCGTCGTCGTCGTCGTCGTCGTCGTCGTGGTCGGTCCCCTGTCCGTCCCTCTTGGGGTCGGGTCGACGGTCCGCGGCCGCCCCGCCGATCAGCGCTGCCGCTGGCCAGGCCGACGGTCCGCGGCCGCCCCGCCGCTTGCCAGGGCCCGGCCTGCAGGGAAGAAAGGTATACCCCCCAAAAGGGGTTCGATCGAAGACGAAGAGGGCGGGTATCGAGGGTTTGGGAAATACGCGTTATTGGACACTCGAGCATACAAGGGCGAACAGTCTTAAAATGATTGTTGTTGTTGTTGTTGTGGTTGTTGTTGTTGCCATTGTTTTGCTGTTGAGTTTTCATATCGAAAGAATATTGGTTGTTGATGCCCCCTTCTTGTAACCATTTTATGTTTCAATTGCAGTGCTTCTCTGCGGGCTCGCACCCATTTTACACAAAAGAAAGTATGGGGTCACCAGGCTGCGTTGTTGGGCCCCGAATTACAACAACAACGGCTCCCTCCTGATACTTCCTCACTATGTGTTCCCAAATTGCGCTCTCGCGCGGAACTCCATCACTATTCATACAGCAATCGCGCTCTCGCGTGGGACTTCCTCGCAACTTCTCCAAACGCCGTGCCCTCGACACTCCGGAATCACGCTCTCGCTGTGAATTTCTTACGATTTATTTGGGAATCGCGCCATTGCTCGAGATTTCCTCGCGATTCATGCAGGACGCACGCTTCAGCAACCTGCCTGTTCGACCTGGCCGCCTGGGCCCGCCTTCCCGACCTGCCCGTCAGGGTTTGCCCGCCCGATCTGCCAATCTGGTTCTACCACGTGTTTTCTGCTCATGGCCCCCTTGAAACTCTCTCGTGTTCCATCCTCTTCCCTCCCCCTTGTTTTTTCTTCCATCCGTCCTCTCTTCCCCCGTTGTAGGGGTTGCACGACATACATGTGGCGGGTAAGAAAGGTATACCCCTACGGGGGTACGATCGAAGACGAAGAGGGCAGGTACCGAGGGTTTAGGATATATGTTTTGAATGGCACGCGAGCAGATGAGAGCGAACAGTCATAACATGTTTGTTGTTCTAGTCAAGTTCCCACCCCTGAAGAATAAGTATGGTAGATCCCCCCCACCGGTTCACATACTGTTTTTTCCAGTTGAAGGGACCCCATCGGGGCTCGCACCCAGTTATCAGGGAAAGTCTTCCTGCCCAAATTGTGCCCCTGGCCCCCCGGCTACAACAACAACGGCTGCAGCCTGATACTTCCTCACAATTTATTTAAAGATCGCGATCTCGCGCGGGATTCCCTTGCAATTCATGCAGGAATCGCGCTCTCGCGCTGGATTTCCTCGCAATTTTTATCTAGACGCCACGCACTGGACACTCAGGAATCACGCTCTCGCTTTAGGTTTTCTTATGATCTACTTTGGAGTCGCGCTATTGCTCGATACGTCCTCGCGGTTCATGCAAGACTCACGCTTCAGCAGCCAGCATGTTCGACCTGGTCGCCTGGGCCCGCCTTCCCTACCCGCCCGCCCGGGTTTGCCCGCCCGATCTGACCGTCCGGTTCTACCACGTGTTTTCTGCTCCTAGCCCCCCTCCTGCTAATTTCTCTCGTGCTCCTTCCTTCTCCCTCCCCCTTCAATCCTTTCTCTCTTCCGCCGTTGTAGGGGCTGCACTCAATGCATGTGGCAGATAAGGAAGATATACCCCTAAGGGGGTACGATCGAAGATAAGAGGGCAGGTACCGAGGGTTTGGGGATATATGTGTTGAATGCCTCGCGAGCGGATGGGAGCGAATAGTTTCTAAATGATTGTTGATATTGTGGGTGGTTGTGGTGGCGGTGGTGGTTTTGCTGGTGGTGATGCTGCTGATGACGGTGATGGTGCCGATGTTGAGTGTGGTAGTGATGGTGATGTTGATGGTTACTGTAGTGATGATGCTGATTCTGATGATGATTCTGACGGTGGTGGTGGTGGTGGTGGCTCAAACACGATGGGGATTGTGGTTACGATGGTCATCTCGGCGATGCAATTCATTATCATACTATTACTACTACTGCTAATGATGGTGGTGGTGATGATGATTATACTGTCGGTGGCCTGATGAGGATGACGATGCTGGTGCTGATGCTGATGCCGATGCTGCTGATGATGATGATACTGAGGATGATGCTGGTGGTGATGATGATTATGGGGATGCTGATGCTGATGCTGATGCTGATGCTGATGCTGATGCTGATGCTGATGAATCTGAATATGAATATGAAGATAAAGATGAATAGGATGGTGATGCTGATGATGATGATGATGATGATGGTGATGCTGATGAAGAATATGCTTATGATGATGGTCATGCTGCTGCTGATGATGATGACGATGACGACGACGATGATGATGACGATGACGATGACGATGACGACGACGGCGACGATGCTGATGGTGACGATGATGGTGACGATGATAACGACGATGACGATGACGATGATGATGACGATGATGATGACGATGATGATGGTGGTGGTGATGATGATGATGCTGATGATGATGATGGTGGTGTTGATGATGATGACAATAATACTGCTGATGCTGATGCTGATGCTGATGCTGCTGCTGCTGATGATGATGACGATGATGATGATGATGGTGTTGGTTGTGGTGGTGATGGTGATGGTGATGGCACAGGTGATGGTGATGGTTATTATGATGATGGCGATGATGCTGGCGATGGTAATCGTGGTGATACGTAGAGTAAGGAAGGGGAGTTGCAGGAGGAGGAGCACGAGGAGGGAATCGATGCCTAGCACTGCGCTGCGCATCTTCTTCTACCTCTTCCTCTTCTTTGAATGTCCTCCTCGTCCTCATCGCCCCCTCTTCCTCTCCCTCTTCCCCTGCTCGCTCCTGTTCCCCTCTCCCCCGCGTCCCCCACCGACGCACCCCGCCGACGCCACCGACGACCTGCTCGAATTTGCCGCCCCAGCGCTGGCCTCCCCCTTCCTCGAAAGGCGAACCAGGCAATCGCAAGGACGAGCCAGAACATCCTGCAAACGAGCGTAGCAGTTCCGAGACCGACACAGGAGACCTCCCGGTTCGAATTTCTCGGGCTGCTTTCCTCCGGAATCTCCAGATGGCTCCCCCGCTCCTCCGTTCCCTGGCTCGCCCGCTGCCCAGCCTTCTTCCTTCCTCCCCGGCAGGACGGGCAGGTGTACCGCTCGTCCCCCAACGGCTTCGGGGAGGGCGTCTGGAGTACTGGCTGCGCCGACGGCGATTCGGGGACCGTCGCCACATCAATCGCCCTCCCCCCCCTCCCCCTTCCCTCCCTCCTCCTCCTTTCTCCTCCTTCTCCTCCTTTCCCCTCCCCCCTCCTCTTCCCTCCTCCCCCCTCCTCTTCCCCCCCCACCCCCACCCCCCTCCTCTCCTCTGCCCTCACCTTCTTCCTTCCTACACTTCAAGTTGCCATCGGGGTCAAAGGAGTGAGGATTGCCGTCAACCCCTTCTGGTGAATTCGGGGGGTACCTCTCCAAGCCACCCGCTCCTCCTCTTGCTGCTTCCCCGCCACGGCTGGCGCCCTTGCGGCGGGCTCGTGAGCTGCGCGGAAGAGGCGCGAGCAGCGCCTCCGCAGCACCGCGCGCGATGTGGACTGGTTGATGCAGCTTGGCCAGGCGTGGCATAGCCACCCCTCGAGGCACCAAAGACGGTATGAGCATAAATTTTTGGAGTTCCGCGTGGATTTCTTGGATCTCCGCTCGGCACCCCTGGCGGCGCCCCCCTCGCGCGCTCCGCGCGCCCATGGAGGGGGGTCCAGCGCAGATCCAAGAAATTTGCGCGGACCTCCGCGACATGTGTGTTCTACGCTCAGTGCCCCTCGAGTCACACTGGTGAAGCTGGACCTGGCGAGAATTCTGCGCTTCGCTCAGAGGTCGAGCGGCTCAAGTGCGAGCACGGTGAGCTCCAGCTTGTGCTCACCAGCGCCGCGCATTCGCGCATTTGCGCACTTGCGCGCTGGCGTGCTGGCAGCGGGTCGAGCTGCTCCTCCGGCCTCCGGCAGGGGCCCCGAGGGCTGGGGCCGGGTCAGGATGACCAAGCAGTCCCAGGCGAACGAGGACGAGGAGAGGGAGAGTGAGAATGGTGTGGCGAAGCAGAAGGAGGCTGGCTCGAACGTCCACCCCGAACGAGGCCAGCTCGACCCGTCTGCCGATGCCGATCCCTCGGCGTCGAGGTCTCGCGGCGCTCTTCCGCACGCTGGTGCCGATGCTCTCTGTGCCGCGTGTGTCCGCCCAACGACGCTCGGGATTGCAGTGCCCGAGCGGTGAGCGCGGTGTGAGGAGCAATACTGCTCGTCGCCTTCGTCGGCCCCATCGTCGCCTCCGCCTGAAGTCTCTATGCTGCGCAGCGCGGGCCCGAGTCGCGGGCAAGATGAATTGCGGTACTGTCGTCTGTCGTCGTGTCGTTCTTCTCTCCTGGGACTTGCCCATCACGTGCGGGTCTCGCTACGTCTTGATTATTGAAATTCTTTTTCATCCGTCTCTTCCTTCTGCTTCCTCCTCCTCTTCCCCTTCTTCCCCCTGCCTGCCGCAGCCCCGGCACTCGCCTGCCTAGCTGTGGGACGAGTGGCTACCGATACTGAGGTGGGTGTCACTGCCGTGAACTTCCCTTCATGCCTCGTGCCCCTCCTCCTCCTCCTTCTCCTCCTGCATTTTTTTTCCTTGGTGAAGAACTCCTCCATGTCGCACCCCGAGGCCAGTCCCAAGGGCGGGCTGGGCGTTTCACCTGAGACTTTCCTCACCATTTATGATCCAACATCTTAGAGTTTGCAGATGGCGGGCGTCGCTCTCAAAATGTGGCTGTCGCTTCAGCGCCGCGCACACACGCATTAGAAGCTTGCAGGAGTTACGCGGATTGAGAACAGGTCGTTTTCAACATGTGGCTCTCGCCCTGGCGCCGCGCACATTCGTCTCAAAATCGTGAAAGAGTTTCACCGGCCGTTTTCAACATGCGGCTCTCGCCTTAGCGCCGTCGTTTGTAAACGCATCGCAAGAGTTTCACCGATCCAGGGCGGTTCCTTGTCAAGAATGTGGCTCTCGCCGTGGCGCCGCGCACATTCGCTTTAGAACGTGGCAGGAGTTTCACGGATTGAGGGCGGTTCATTTTCAAAATGTGGCTCTCGCCTCAGTGCCGCACACATTAATTTTCAATAATTGCAATCGTTTCGCAATTTCCATGGGTATAATGTACCAGAATCGACATTCGGGAACGATTCAGAATTGCCCGGGCGCAGCAATTACGTATATTCGCGGTATTGAAGTCCTAGGAACGGTGTTCTGGTACGGTTCAGAAACGTCAAGACGCGCTAGTAACGGTGATTTGCGGCGTTGAACTCTCAGGACTGGTGGCCTGCACCGTTCAGGGTTTTCAACGGTTGTTGTCCAACTGGGCATTGCCTTCTGTGAAAATGAACCCTTGTAGGAGCATATGAAGGGGGAGCCTGGAGGGAGGGTTAATTGCAACATCGCTGATGAGTCTTTGGTGTGCACTGGTCCTCCTCCTTCTCCCCCCCTCTTCTTCCTCTCCTCTCCTTCTTTTCGCCCCCTTCGCCTCCTTCCCCTGGACTTCCTCATGAGGATGATGGCGAGGCTCACGAGGATGATGATGATGATGATGATGATGATGATGATGATGATGATGATGATGATGGTGGTGATGATGATTAGGAGGAGGAGGAAAAGGTGGAGGACGGAAAAAACGAGCAGGATTGCGGAGAGGAGGGGAGAGGGATGCAGATGACGATGACGATGACGGTGACGACGAGGATGACGATGACGATGACGATGAGGATGAGGATGATGCTGCCGCTGATGATGCTGATGCTGTTGATGTTGTTGATGATGATGATGGTGATGAGGATGATCATGGCGACGGTGATGACGCTGCTAATGATGTTGATGGTGATGCTGATGATGACGATGTCGTTATAACGATGCGGACGTTGACTAGTGTGCTTATTTTGTGAATGTAATGAAGCTGGCGTCGATGAAGTTGTTGATGTTGCTGGTGTCAACGATGCTGTTGACGACGACGATGCTGATAATGCTGATGACGATGATGGTGATGCTAACGCTGATGGTGGTGATGATGAGTTTGATGCTGATCACGTTGCTGATTGTTGTAAGCATGATGCTGGCAACACCTACGTTACATATTATGATGCTGCTGATTGCGACGACGACGATGTTGATGATGATGCTGCTGATGATGATGATGACGGTGGGTGCTGCTTCGGTTGTCGATACTGCTGATGATGGTGACGGTCACGGCGACGACGACGATGACGACGATGATGATGCTGCTGCTGCTGATGATGCTGGTGATGGTGGTGATGCTGATGATGATGACAACGCTGAAGATGACGACGACGATGCTTCTGATTATGATGATGTTGATGCTGATGATGATGCTGCTGATGATGCTGATGCCGATGATGAGGATGATGCTGCTGACGACGACGATGACGATGATACTGATGATGATACTGCTGATGATGATGCTGATGATCATGATGCTGATGTCGACGATGATGACTTGGACGGCGTTGCTTACGATGGCGACGCTCACACCGACGACGATGCTGATAGTGATGACGATGATTATGCTGATGATGATGCTGATGATGATGATGACGATGATGATGATGATGCTGATGATGATGATGATGATGATGATGATGCTGGTGATGATGCTGATGATGATGATGACGTTGATGACGGTGATTAGGCTGATGACGAGGATGACGGTAACTATGCAGGCGACATCCGTATTATGGACGACGAGGACTATGATACATGATGATCACGGCGGACATTGTGATGATCTAGCTGATGCTTATGCTGATGTGGATGGTGCTAACGATGATCATGAGTGATTATGCATTTAATGAGTACGCGGATCCGTACGATGTTGATGATGTTGATGATGATGGTGAGGATGCTGCTGCTGCTGCTGATGATGATGATGTTGAGACTACTGATGGTGATGCTCGTGGAATATCTGGATGATTCGGTGACGAGGGTGATGAGCATGAGGATGATGATGTGAATAGTTCAGATGGACGATACCTACAAATTCGGTGACGACGAACATGTCGATGTTGGGATGATGGTGGCGATGACGATGGGAGGTGGATGATGAGGAGGGGGAGGAGGACAGGAGGAGGAGGAAGAGGAGGAGGAGGAGGACCAGAGCAACGCCAAGAGCCAAGATGCATCGACGGTGCTGCAAACATTTTCTCGTCCCAAGTCCCTTGCAAGAAGCACTACGGGGCTGCAAACATTTTCTTGTAATTCCCTACCAGCCTTATTGTTCATTGCAAGAAGTGCCTCCTTGAAAGGCCAGCACCCCTCATGGGCCTGCGATTCAGGCGAGAGCCCCGCCTTGAGAAGGAACCGTCTTGTATGCTTCGAGAGTGCAATCCTCCTCCCCCTCCTCCTCCTCCTCCTCCTCCTCCTCCTCCTCCTCCTCCTCCTCCTCCTCCTCCCCCTCCCCCTCCCCCTCCCCTCCTCCTCGTCTCCTCGTCTCCTCCTCCTCCTCCTCCTCCTCCTCCTCCTCCTCCCTCCTCTCCTCCTCCTCCTCCTCCTCCTCTCCCCCTCCCCTCCCCCTCCCCCTCCCCTCGTCTCCTCGTCTCCTCGTCTCCTCCTCCTCCTCCTCCTCCTACTCCTCCTCCTCCTCCTCCTCCTCCTCCTCCTCCTCCTCCTCCTCCTCCTCCTCCTCCTCCTCCTCCTCCTCCTCCTCCTCCTCCTCCTCCTCCTCCTCCTCCTCCTCCTCCTCCTCCTCCTCCTCCTCCTCCCCCCCCCGCGGTGCGACAAACATGCGACATCATCGTGCCCCCCCAGCCTCCTCCGGCTTGCCAGTTCGTGCAGGGACTTCGCTGCGCTAGGGCAGCCTGGGGAGGCCGCCCAGGAAGCGTGCCCGGGGCAGTCAGGAACCCCGCGACGAGCTGGAAGCCACCGTGCCTTACCTGACCTTCTCCTCTTCCTCCTCCTCCTTCTCCGCCTCCTCCTCCTCCTCCTCCTCCTCCTCCTCCTCCTCCTCCTCCTCGTCGATGACGTTACGATGCTTGACAACTCCGCCGCAGAATGCCGCGCGGCTCACGCGTCGGCCCAGACGGCGATCGCCAACGTCCGCGGCAGTCGCATGCGGAAGCGGACCTTCCACGCCATCCTACTGCCCGGAGGCGCCATTTCGAACTCGGACACCTTGCTGGACGCGCCCACCAACTGCAGTACCGGCCGGCTCGTCGGCTCCAACGCCGACCGCGCTTTCCGAATAACACCCTTGAGCCTTGCGAGGATGTAGACGCCGCCGCTCTGCGCAGTCTCCAGCCGTCCTGCGCGGATGCCGCCGCGTCTGTCGCCGAGCATGGGCGAGCCGAGCGCCGCGCCGAACACCTCCGCAGCATTAAGCAGCTGATGTTCGACGTCGACATGCAGGCACCATGAGCATCGCTTCGCCGGCCAGATCCCCAGGATTCAGGCACTCGTGCTGAATTCCGCCCAGGCCGACCGACTGCACCCGTCCTCATGCGCTTCACTTCAGTCGGGCCTGTCCCTCTACAGGAGGAATTTTCGAACATAGTCCAAACGAATAGTCTGGGGACCACTTCTGACAATTTTGAGCATTCGTTGGGTATTCGCTTTGACTGTTTTGAATTTTTCGACCAACATCGGCCCGTAGGGGGACAGGCCCGGCTTAATGCCACACCTGGCGCGGCGCGGCCTGGGCTCGCCAGGGCGCCGCGTCCCCCGGGCCCGCCTCGCTCCTCCTCCTCCTCCTCCTCCTCCTCCTCCTCCTCCTCCTCCTCCTCCTCCCCCTCCCTCCTCCTGCTCCTCCCTCCTCCTCCTGCCGCGGGGCCGGGCGGCGGCGCCGCCCGAGCGCGCGAGCGAACTGGCGCCTCTGCGGACAGGTCTCCGAGGGGCGAGCATAGGGGGCCACAGGCGAGCCCTGCCCTCCTCCTCCTCCTCCTCCTCCGGCTCCTGCTCCTCCTCCTCCTCTTCCTCCTCCTCCTCCTCCTCCTGGGGAGAGCCACCCAGGGCCTCGAACGCAACGCCGAGGACGACCAGGGCGAGCGGCGACCAGGGTAGGAGGCCTCCAGATTTCGTAATAAAGGGAGGGGGGTCTCATTTCGGGGGGGGTCTCTTCCAGGCCATCCTGGAGGGCCTGGGGGGTCTGGGGACGATGTTTTGGAGGGTTCTCCCACGGGGGAGGTCTGAATGGGCTTGTCTTGGAGGGTCCAGACCCCCTCCCTTTTATTGCGAAATCTGGAGTACCCCTACCCCCCACGATTTCTGAGGGGGAGGGTGGGGTTCCCTTCGCTTGGGAGCTCCCGAACGAAGTGAGCCCCACCCTCCCCCATCAGAGATCGTGTGGGGGTAGGGGTAGGGTTCGCATGCGGCCCCCTAGAGCAGGTGGCACATGGGCCACGATAGCAATGGCGTCCGCTCGGACCACTGCCCCCTCCTTCAAGCGAAAAACGAGGGGGCCGGCCGCACGGGCGGCGTGATCCCGGGCCTGGCTGCCCGCTGGTGGTCGGGGCGGGAGGGGCAGCAACGCGCGATTGCAGAGGGCCGCGCGTGCGACCTGCAGGGCGGGTCCCGAGGGCGAGCGCACCGTCTGCTGCCGCCTGCCCGCCGCCGCGAGTGAAGGCCGATGACGCTGCGGCAGACAGTGGAACCGGCCTCTTCTGCCTCGCTTGCCCTCGGTTTCGCTTGACAGCCACGGCGCGCCCCGCTTCCAGCCAACCGTGTTGCGAGGTTCACCTCCTCTCCGCCCCCTCAGGTGCCATGCGGAGCCTCGGCGCCTCATCGAAGGCACCGACGCCCGCGGCCACGATGCCACTGGGAGGATGCATTGGTTCAGCAGGGAGATGTAGTGGAACAGGAGGGGTTGATCGGGGCCTCCCAGGCGGCGCCAGCGAGCAGATCGAGGAGGAGGAGGAGGAAGAGCTCTCCGACGGCGGCTCCGAGGACCCGCCGCGCCGCCCTTGGGGGGAGGGGGTGAGTGGGAGGAGTAGGGGGATGAGGCGAAGCGGGGGGCGGAGGGGGACCGGGAGGATGAGGATGAGGCGGACCAGTGTAAACCCAAGACTCATCAATGAGACTCATCAACCATGCTGGTAGAAACCCTCCCTCCAAGTTCCCTCTTCATAGGTCTTACAAGAATCCATGTTCACTGAGGGAAGTGCTCCGTTGGGAGAAACCGTTTGAAACCCCTGAATCGTGCCAGATGTACATTCCTGGGGCTTCAACACCGCGGTTCAACGTACCTGCTGCGCACCGGCAATCCTACATCGTTCACAGCACCATGTCTGGGACGTCAACCATAAGAATCCTTGAAGCTGTTGTAAACTCTTGTGACGAATGTGCGCGGCGCTCAGGTGAGAGCCGCATTTTGAAAACTGCCCGCCCTCAATCCGTGGGACTCTTGCAAACTTTTACGACGAATGTACGCGGCGCTGAGGCGAGAACCACATTCCGAAAACCGCCCGCACTCCATCCGTGAAGCTCTTGCAAGCTTTTGAGACGAATGTGTGCGGCATTCGGCGAGAGCCAAACTTTAAAAACCGCCCGCCCTTCATCCGTGAAACTCTTTGCACAATTTTAAGACACGCGGCGCAAAGGCGAGAGCCACATTTTGAAAACGAACCGCCCTCAATCCGTGAAGTTCCTTTGCAAATTGCAACTTCTCAGCTTAAGGATCGTAACCGGTCAGGAATCCTCAGGCGAAACGCCCGGCAGGCCCTACCGACACGTCTCGGGGTGCGACAGGGGGGAGTTTATCATAAGGACAACGGGAGGGGGAGGAGGAGGAGGAGGATGAGGAAAAGGAGGAGGAGGAGGATGAGGAAGAGGAGGAGAAGGAGGAAGAGGAGGAGGAGGAGAAGGAGGAGGATAATGATGATGATGCTGCTGCTGATGATGAGGATGATGAGGAGGAGGGGATGCGGTCAGGCGCACGGCCTCGGATCGGGCTCGACTCGGGCTTCTGACTCGCACGCGCGGGGGCATCTTTGGGCCACTTGCTCGATTGGGATTGGAAGCTCAAATTCCCTCGGGCACTGATACGGAAACTTTGGCACGCCGCCCAGAACACAGGTCCTTGGAAGATCGAGCAAGCCTTCGGCGAGTGTGCTCTGCGTGCAGCGCACGCTGGGAGGGGAGCACGCCGGCGCGAAATGCGCCGAATCCAGTCCGCCGACGTCGAACGACCTGTGCTCGTGAGGATGCTGGGTGGGTATAGCCAGTCCAGGGGCGAAGGATTGCACGAAGGATTGCAAAAAAACCCTTCGAAGGATTGCAACAAAAACCCTTCGAAGGGTTTTTTTGCAATCCTTCGAAGGGTTTTTTTGCAATCCTTCGGGGCGTGGCCTGGTCCTGTCTATCCTGCCAGTGGGCATGGCAGGCCAGGCTGACCCCCACCGGCTTCCCGCCAGTACCAGTTCCTCGCCCGGCTCGCGGCCCGGGCGATGGGGCGGGGCCGCCGCAGGTCGCGCCTCCGCCAGGACCCCCGAGAGTTGCCTCCGCCCTGCTTTTTTGCAATCCTTCGTTTTTTTTCAATCCTTCGTTTTTTTTTTTTTTTTTTTTGTTTTTTTTTTTTGTTTTTTTTTTTTGCAATCCTTCGTTTTTTGCAATCCTTCGTTTTTTTTGCAGTCCTTCGTTTTTTGCAATCCTTCTTTTTTTTGCAATCGTTCGTTCGAGCGACTCCGACAGCTGGATTGAGACTTTGGGTGAGAGGGGCCTGCAGCTCCTTGTCCCCCAGACTCTTGGGGCCGCCGCGGGCCTCAGGGCGAGGGACCCAGGAGCACACTTGCGCCAGGATCCAGGATCCGCTCCGCACCTGCTGAGCTCCGCTTGCCACTGTCGCTCAACTTCGGAGGGTCGCGGCAAACTGGGGCATCTATCTTTGCGGCACGGTCTGCTTCCGATTCACGTGTGGCGTGCCACCGCTGAACACAAAAGGGGGGTGAACGAGTTCAAGCCCAGATGAGTCGTAGCCACAGCAACTTCAAAGCCGCCGCCCATGGCAGACTCACCACGGTTAGCCAGACAGTCGACTGTAATGTGCAACCGGCCGGTGACATTCCAAGACGCACACGTGAGCACACTGCGCTTGCATCACGACTCGGAGCGGGTCGGCGGCAACGTGTACAAGACGCCCCACAGCAGGCGAGGTCAGGGGCAGTCCCCTGCCTTTTTGGTCCGCACAGACAAGCTCTCATACAGAGGGGGCGCGCATCAAGAAACCATCTGCTTTTCGTCAGGGTATCCTGGGTTTCTTCGCTCTCCGCGCTGCGCGGTGACTTCCCGCTGCCGTTGAAGGAGCTGCTGCGTTCAGGGTGCTCCAGGTTTTTTCTCAGGTGCACCTCGCGCACGGGTTCTCAGGGTTGGGTTTCGTGCGAGGGTTTCTTGCGGCCGCGCCCGCACTGTAGAGGCATTCGGACCACTTGTATGAGCGCCCACCCAGGGGCGTTGGGCCACTGGTGGCCACCACTGGCCAACTTCCCGCCAACGCACACGCCACCGACGCAGTTTTCGCGGGCGGGAGCTCGGGTGGCCTGGGGACCGTCACAGGCAGGGACCCAGGACGTCCGGCACGCTCGACGAGCACGGCAGCCCCCGCTCGGGGCCCCTCGATGCTCTCCCCTCCAGATGCTCTCCACGGAGGGGTTGGTACTGGTGCAGGACCCCTGGATGCGATGTCTGATGTCCTCGGGGTGCCACATCTGCAAGTTGTCTCCGTGCTGTAACCAGCTGCTTTCCGGCGACGTCGAGTCCACACTTGATTTCGTTACGTGTGCGAAGGAGATGCTTCTTTCCTGCCGTATCGGCGCCTTTTCGGCAAGCTTCTCTTGGCGAGGGAGAGGTCGATGTCTTCTGGTGGCACGGGTGTTCTTGCCAGACAGTGGCGATCACACACGGCAGACGACATGGCCACGTAATGGTCAGCGGGTACATTTCGCAGTCTCCATGGCAACACTCAAAGGAGACTTCATACGTCCATCGCAAGATTGCAGGCTGACTCTGGTTGTTCCATGACGCCTAGCGTATTACCCCATCCATTGGGAGGCGAGCTGAGGATGTTGGACGCAAGATCACGATTATCAGGGACGCCAAGCTCGGACTTCTCAGGGCTTGGGTGGATATCACGACAACCAGACTCCACAATAGACACGGTCGCAGACCAGCTCTTCAGTTGGGGTCGTCCAGTATTGAAGCCCAAGGGTGCGTAGCATATTCTAGACGTTTCGCGTAACCCCTCACGCACGAACACCCCCTACGCAGACGACAGTCCGACCCCTCGGTTGGCCCCGTGGCCCTCCTATGCAGATGCCCAATCCGACCCCTCGCAGGACCTGAACGACCCGCACACCGGCCAGTACATGCATAAACCCCGCTGGAGCGGGTCCAGCTCTCCCTCCGCGGCGAGGACCACGCCGAGACAGTGAAGCGCCTTCAGAAGGAGCTCGGGGAGTACTTCAGCGGGACTTGGTACCAGTGGACGCATAAAAACCCCACCAGGACAGGCCATGTCTGTGCCGACCCCACCAGGCAGGAGCCTGGGTCCTGTGAGTGCTTCCTCCAGGCGTGGCACCGTCACAACTGCCACCCAATGAAGATGGATGAGGCTCTACAGCTCCAGGTCGACTGGTCGGCTGTCCGCGGCAAGGTCGCTGGCCGGACTAAGGGGAAAGGCGCCCTGGGTAAAGGAAAAGGCAAGGGGCAACGGGAGGACGGTGACTCTCGCTGGGCAAGTCCTGGGGATTCCAGGCGGGCCACGAGCTTCCACCAGCCCTGGGTGTATCCCTAGGACCTCTCCCACGCACCCCCTTCCCCCTCGGGACCCATCCGCGGCATCGGGCGCTCCTCCTTCCCCAGGGCACGTCCCGGCTGCCCCGACGGAGGCGCCCGCCTCACGCTCCGCGGTCGCTGCCGACACCCTTCCGGCACCAACCGCGGCGCACCCAACGAAGAAACCGAACCTGGCTCCACGAAGGGCCCTCCTCTCACCGGGGCCAGCCCCAGGCGGGGCCCCACGGCGCGCCACCTTGGCTCCGCGCCCGATGCCGCTTCGGGCGCGCCTCGCCTAGCTGGGGTTGGCTCGCTCGCCCCTGGCCCTCAGGAGACCCTTGCTCCTGGCCCACCTTTGCGGCCTCTCGCCTCCTGGACGACCGCCGCCCCCCCTGGCCCGCCTTAGGCGCTGTCCCAGAGACTCTGGTCCCCTCCCCCGCAGAGTGACCCGTACTGCTAGTTCCTTTGCGGCGACAGGTCTGGCCGCCTGACTCAGCGCAATGCCACTCCCACTTCGTGACTGTTCGTCGCGCCCTCCTTCATTACCCACTGGTCACCTCCGCACTACTCTGCGACTGTCAGTCGCTTCTCACCTCACCTGCCCTCTGGGGACGCAATCTATTGCGCGACTGTCGGTCGCTCCCCACCGGCTCCCCCCCCTGCGCTCTTCACTGCCGTGCGCGACGCACCACCTTGCGGCTGTCAGCCGCTTCTCCCTGGCCACCGTCCCCCCGCTCGCATCTGCCTGTTGGACCCGCTCCCAAGCTACAGTGCGACTGTCAGTCGCTCCCCACCGACTCCCTTCCCCGGCCCTCGCCGCCTACGTGCACGACGGTCGCTCCACAGCTGTCTACTCTGCGACGGTCTGTTGCTTCCCACCGACTCCTCTCCCTCCGCTGTCTCTGCCCTCGTTCCACCGCGGCTGTCAGTCTCCTCGCTCCGTCTCCCACCGCCGACCACGCGGCTGTCAGCCGCCGCTTCCCCCCCTTGCCGCGGCCTGCATCGCGGCCGCCGCGGCCTCGCCTAATACCGCCCCGCCGCTCTTTTGCCCGGGCCTCTCGCGACGTTGCGCCCTCGGCGCCGTGTAGCCCTCCCCCGACGCCCGCCCCCGCGTCGCCGCGGGTGCCCTCGGCCTCCCCGTCGGCTCCTGCCGGTGTCCTCCGGGCTGGCTGGGGCTT